TAATTCAAACATCAATTCCATTTTTGTTATCAAATCTCACACATCCAACAAATCACAAAACCGAATGATGGCATGTGCAAACTTCACAAACAAAGAACTGGTCTCACATTTTGAAAAATAAAGCATAAATTATAGATTCAAATTCCATAGGCTCACTTTTCAAACTACTCTCCACAAATGTAGAATGATCATGCTACCTTGGATCAATAGGTCTTTATTAAGTTGGTAACATTAGGCTAGGGTATGGGGTTATGAAAGAATGGAAATGATATAAGCAAACATAAGAGACTCAATCTCATCTTTTAAACACCTTCCTTCAAGCATCACCATTCTCCTTTACACCAAACCTTTCACCCTTCATCAAAATTTCTCACAAGATAAACAAATTTATTGCATCATTCATACTTTGCAATATTTCTCAATATTTTCCTTTTTCTTTCCTTTCTTTTCTTCTTCTTCTTCTTCTTTTTTTTTTTTTTTTAATTCTTTCTTCTTTTTTTTCTATTGCCATAACTTTTAACAATATCAGCAATGTTTTTTTTCATCTTTTTTTTTTTTCATTAAGAATAAATAAAAGAAAGCTAAAAATGCTACCCCACAACTTGATTAAAAAGCACTCCTCAACCCCCAACCTATTCTTTTGAACACATTTGGAATAAGTTGGCAATTTCCATGACCTTCCACCCTTACTCCTCTAATTGCTCTCACTAATCTTGTTTATATTAAGTCTCTTAAAAAAAGTTAAGGGTAGAAATGTGTTTTTGGCTCAAAATAATGGTGGGTTAACGTGGGTTATATGAAAGAAAATCAGGGCTAAAAACTGTTTTTAATAATGGCTCAAAAGGGGTTACTAGCGATAATTTAAATAAAGGGTTGGCTTGAAAGGCTCAAATGATCTAAAGATAAGCCTAAATTTTTTCCTAAGTAATGTTTATTCTAGGATTTGGTCTCATGTAGTTTCCAAATGAGTTCTAGAATTTGTTGAGATCGCAAAAATGTTTATGAAAATTCACACACAACAAACATCACCACGCCTTAAGACTAACCAACCAAATCATACCACATAGCTTGAGAGTCTCAAACTAGATGAAATTAATTATTTGAAATCACCCTTAAACCTAAGCAACATTGTAATGACTCTTTCTAACTTATATACTTGGGAAATATAATACACTAAAAACACATAAAAATATTAGTAAAAGATAATGGGCCCGAAAATTTCTTTACTTTACATATAAAATTCTTTACATTAATAAAAGTCTCATGTACATAAACTCAAAAATAGTAGACAGTGGTGCCATTTCCCTCCGCCTCTCGATGCCCATCCGATCGCTTCTCACATATTTCCTGCAAAAACAAAGAAATCAATAGAGTGAGCACTAATTGCTCAGTAAGTAAATCCACTATAATAGCCTTTTCTCTCTGTTGCTCACATTCTAATTTCTTTCCTTACATGACTCTTCTATGTTCTTTACCTATTTTTCTCTATTCTTATATCTCTATTCTTTCTTTCTTTCTTTCTAATTTCTTAATACTTCTTCTTTCCTTCTTTCTTTCTAATTTCTCACTACTCATGGTAGTAGGCATAATGCCATGCATAAGTGTGATGCACATGTACAAATGCAAGAAGTGCTCATTTTCTTTTTTGTTTTCTATTCTTTCTCTTCTTTCTTTTCTTCTCTTATGCTTTCTTATTCTTATTCTTATTCTTTCTTCCTTATTCTTTTTCTTTCTTTCTTATTTTTTGTCAATCAGACTCGGTTGAGGCATGGATTCGGAACCCTGGCCGTGTGTGTATTCTTCTTTCTTGGGTACAACCCTCATCCACATGCACTCTTACGGGCTATACCAATTCTTCTTCTTATTCTTAGGCCGCTCACTGAAGGTGGCGTGCATGTGGGGAAATTCTTCTTGTCACTCACGGGTTCCCTATCGCAACAACTTGTTCTCTTCTTCTTTTAGAGCATTCTTTAATAACTTTTTTTTCTTTCTCTTTATTCTTTAAATTCTCGTACATATGTATATGATGTATGTAGAGGGCTCATGCTCATTATTCTTTCTAAATGCAAATGTTTAAATGCAAGGATAACATGTAGCATAGAAATAAGTTTCTCTCTACCATCTACAAACTCATGTCAATTCATAAATGAATAAAACTCATGCATACACTTCTCTTGGACATTTCATCAAACATATTGCATGCATAATCAAACTCTAATTTGGCTACAATTATATCTCTTTCTCAAGACATTAATATTTGGAGTAAAACTCGCTTAAACAATTAATAAACCTGTCCAAAAAAATACACTCCCAAAAATTCTACTCAACTCTTTCTAACTTCAACCAAACTTCAGTTAATCATCATACAAACAAAACCACTTCTCATGGCTAAATTCTACTCATCAATAATCATCAAACTCACCAATAATTCATCAATTTCATCAACAATTCTCAAAATCATAAGCATATACATGTATGTAAAATCTCTACACACTTGATTTCTCAAATCATAACTTGGGTTGGATTTACTAATTACCTTGTGCTTGAGTAATTCCACTAGAATCTCTCTTTCTTTGGTAGACTTGTTCTTTCTCTAAAACCCTAAGCATAAACACTATAAGAATTCAACACTTCTAAAAATTAATCTCACATCTATTGCAAGAATTCTTACCTTTGGGTGCTTAGGATAAAATCTCTACCAAAACCCAACCAAAAGCCCTCTAAAATCCCTTGGAAATTTGATGAAGAGATGAGAGAAATTGAGAGTGAAGATGGCGTGAGAGGGAGTAGAGAATGATAGGGTCTTTGTGCTTGAACCCTTAATATCTCATATTAATAGGCATACTTTCCCATTTTGCCCTTGCACTTTCTTGAAAATTTCATCTTTGTCCTTTAGTCAATTACAAAAATGCCCTCATCACCATTGCATTCTCCATAAAATTTCCTTACTTTTCATTCCCCACATTTTCAACTAATTAGGGGTAGAATGGTCATTTTTCCCTTAAGGAAGTTTCTCTAGAATTTTCTCAAAAATTCCAGCCAGTTCTTTGCCTCAGCGAAAAACTCCAGAGAATTCTTTGCCCCGGCGAAGTCTGAAATTTCTGACACACAAATTTGGGCAGAAAGTCCATTACCGCGGCGACAAAATTCCCTTACTGCAGCGAAGTTTGCAAATGTCGATTTTTTTTCAATCTTTCTCCTTGAAATAAGCAAAACTAAGGGAATAAAGGCATAAATAAGTTACGTACCTCAATGTGGGCTTTACAAACATTTAACGTCTTCTTAAACATTACATGTCATCACAATTATATTCATATCATTGACATACAAATTAATCTGAAAAACTAAACAATTAATCCTAAAAACATGCAAAAACTTAAAAAAAAAAAAAAAATTACCCAAATTTATATCTTTAACAAAACAAATAAATAACTAGGAACAATTTCCTCACCCCCAACCTAATATCTACATTGTCCCTAATGTAGCAAAAAGAAAAAGGAGAAAAGGAAACAAAAAGTTACCACCCTTTTTAATATCGAAGTGTGTAGACACGTGAAAGTTTGATCCCTACTCTCGTTTCGTTCCATCATCTATATCAAATTCTATTGAAAACAAAGAGATATAAGGTGTACCTCAAGGCAACACTAATCACTAGTTAAATATATGAATTAGAGTAGCAAAACACAAAATAAACAACATCTAAAAGAAAAAAGAAAAATAAAAATAAAAGGAAAACAACAAAAACAAGACCAATGGGTTGCCTCCCATGTAGCATTTAGTTAACGTCCTTAGCTCGATGTCATCACTTTCTTAACCATATTCTCCCATGTATTTAAAGAGTTTCAGAGGAGGTCTAAGCTCCAAATTAGGGGCCTGCACAATGGAAGGTGGAAGCTTCTCATTAGATGTAGGAAGAGAAATAGAAGAAAGATCATACCTTGGATTTATTTTCGGAAGAAAATCACGTAATGCAACAATCTCTTCTATTTCCTTTCCCATGCCAATGTCTTTTTTAGACTTTTTAGATTCCTCGACTAACAAACCATTTCGAATTGCAACACCTAGTGGATCTTTACTCTTGAGCTCGAACATTTGCTTAGGTAGCTATTTTGCTTCTTTGGAGTCAATGGTCTTATCTCCCTCATTATTGGTCTTTTTCTCTCCATCTTGAATCAACTCATCCTTAGTCACTTCGATATTGATCGGTTTCTTATGAGCTTCTTCAAATTGTGTCTCATTTCTCAATGTTATAACACTAACATTCTCCCTAAGGTTGACCACGATTTGAGAAGAAGTTTACCACATCCTTGTGACTCTAGTCTTCCAATAGTAATAGCCAATTTACTGACTTGATTCTCCAAATTCTTGATTGATGTCTTCGTATCTTGTTGGAACTTGAGAGTCTCTTTTGGGAATTGAAGAGTGCTAGTGGCTAATGAATTTACTAAGTCCTCTAAAGACTTACCTTGAGCTTGGGGAGCATTTTGAGGCCTTGGTATGGTTATGAGGTTCTTTGATAAGGAAATTCTAGTGGATTATAAAGGGTAGTAGCTTGGTGGTTTCCCAAATAGTTAAGGTTGGGGTAACCGCTCCATTCCGAAATGTAGGTGTTGGAGAAAGGTTCATACCTCTGCCTTTGCTATCCTTGAAATCCTCCCACAGTAAAATCTTAAAGAATAAGGCATATGTGGGTAAGATGTCCAACTGTTGAGCATATCTCACATGGTTTAACTTGTCCAACTACCAATTGTTGCACAAGTGTTGTCAAGGTACTCAATTGTTGCTCAATATTGGTGGGCGTACTCACTTCATTTACCCTCTTCGGTGGTGGATCGAATCGTACACTAAATTGTTCAGAGTTGACAGCCATGGTTGCAATCAAATTTCTTGGTTCCCCATGAGTTTTATTAACTGAAGCTCCACCATTTGCCATGTGAATCATGCTCATCTCGATAAGCATCAGTCCCTTATAAAAGTATTGAAGTATAAATTGCTCACTTATTTCATGATGAGGACAACTAGCACATAACTTCTTGAATCTTTCCCAATACTCATACAAAGTCTCCTCATTGTACTAGCAAATACCACAAATTTATTTCCTAATAAGAGTAGCCCTAGATGCAGGAAAATATTTCTCCAAAAAGAGTCCCTTCATTTCATTCCAACTATTTATGGTCTCAGGTGGTAGATAGTAACACCACTCCTTAGTGCTATCCACTAAAGAGAATGGGAATGCCTAAGGTTAACTTGCTCCTAAGTCGTTCCATTGATTTCATGCTCGAACATATCACATGGAATTCCTTAATATGCTTGTCTGGATCCTCTCTCGCTAATCCTCTAAAAGTAGGTAGAAGATGAATCATTCTAGATTTGAGCTTAAAAGCTCCGCTCGTATCATTGTAACAAATGCACAAAGGTTCTTCATCCAAAGACAATGCAACCATCTCCTTTAGCGTAAGGTTAACCATCTCCTTGTGATTGGAATTAAAAAAAAAAACCAAATAAAACAATTAAAATTGAAAAATAAATAAAAACTAATAAAAAGTTAATTAAAGAAAAGTCTCCGACGACATGGCGCCAAAATTTTGATGTGTACAAAAGCAACACCTAATTTTACCTCACCTAAAATCTCTAGCAATGTTGTGTAGCAGTACAAAGCAAGTAAGGGTCTTTCCCACATAAGACTTTTCTACTTAACTAATTACCTACTTAAATAGGGGGTTTCTATGATTAGATAGAAAATTAAAAACAACTATTTAAACAAGTAATCAGAAACAAGTAACATAATTATAGAAGTGAGAGAATATGAGATAAATTGGATTGAAGGATTATTTGCCACCGCTAAATATGTAATGCAAATCAACAAAAACACTCTTTTGACTTTCTACCCTCTTGATTTCATCATCTCAAAAAATACCAACATTGATAAGTTCCATCTCTCCTTACTAAGTCGTTGGATTAGGCACGGTCGTAATCTAATTCCCTATTTATTAAATAACCTAGTATACGATCTCTAGATTCAAAGTAATAAAAGCACTAAGACATGATAGACTACTAAATCAAGGCTAAACTCATATGGTTGGTTTAGTTATTGTAATAACTGCTTCATACTAGGATACTCATAGAAATACATCAAGTAAATATATTTATATTAGCAAAAGTAAATGGGCCCAAATTTTTCTTTTAATACATTTAATCATTCTTTATGCAAAGTAAGGCATCATTAATAAAAGTTATCAAAAACAGTGGACAGTGTAGCTATTACTCCTCACTTGCCGACGCCCATCCGACCGCGTCCTCACCTAGATCCTGCAAACACAAAGAAAAACAATGGGTTGAGAACAAAATAATGCTCAGTAAGTAAATCCTCTACTCGTCTAATGATAATCCGTGGATTATATAGTTTTCATTAGACTTTTTAAACGGATTTCAGGTACTTTCTGATGCATTTTGACCTAAATTGTTGCTTAATTCTTTACATTTTGAGCAAATAAGGACAAAATTGGAAGTTTTTGACTCAGAAGTTAGCGGACCTCAGAAGTTAGGAGAGTTCTGAAGCGGGATAAAGCACGATGAGGCTTGTTCCAAAGAGAAAGCACCGAGAATCGAAGAATCAAGCGAAGATGCAAGTAGAGTGGCAGTTCTGTAATTTTAGAACTTTTCAAGAAGCTTCGCCTTGGCGAAGACTTGTCCTTTGCCACGACGAAGTACGCCAGACATGAACAAGTCTGCTTCTCTTCGCCGCGGCGACAGTCGTAATTTTCAGTTTTGTAAAACGCACAATTTTACTTTGTGCAGGTTTTTCTGAGAAATTTGGGGTGAGGTATAAAAGAAACACTTAATCTTTTTGCCCTAGGTCGTCGAGGAAGTAGGGTTAGCAACTTTTGCATTGTTTTTTATTTATCTTGGAGAGATTCAGCGATTAGAAGGGGGAAGATTGGATTTTGAACCAAGGGATTCATCATTTGGGGAGATTTCTTGTCCTCTCTCTTACTGTTCATTATGTTGAACTTCATTATTATCATTTTTCTTATTTGTAGTGTTAATTTAGCTATGAACTAACCCATCTTGGGTTAGGGTTTTGATTGTAATTCGGATTTCTAATGGGTTAAGTTATTTATCATGTTATGTTCATATGACTATGCTTTGATTGTGTGTTTACTCTGAGTTTTAAATGTTTTATGTGAGGAACATGATGAGATTGAGAAGTAATTCATGTTAGGCTTCTTGGGTAATCACCATTATAGTATTGGATGCTAGAGATAGATTCAAGAATTAATGAAATCATTGTAGGATTCTTGTGCTTAATGAGTTTGGAATTGTTGACCTTCAAATTGTTGGGTGCGGAAGGTTAAAAAGGAAGAATAGGAAAACATAGCCTGAGAAGGTATGTTTAATACCTTAGTGAGTTCGGTTTACAACCAATGCATATGAATGTGAATGTAGTGTAATTTTTAGGTTTAACTCATAAAATCTGAATGAAGTCAAAACCCTACCCTTTTTATTTGAATTGATTTTTATCCATGATTTTCATCTTGCATTCATAGTTAACTTTAGTTTAAAATTTATTGTTCAGTTTAATTAGAAATAGCTCCCATCAATCCAAAGATTTCGGCTGCTCCAACTTGAAAACGGTAGAACACTTAGTGGTTAGCTAACAATCCTCGTGGGAACGATACTCACTCATCATTATATTACTTGTGCGATTAGTATACTTACTACATATTGCATGTTGTAGGAAACACGCATCAAGTTTTTGGCGCCGTTGCCAGGTATTTGTTTTAAGTTAACATTGAGTCTGTCTATAGTTAGCTAGATTGGAGTTTTTATTTTTGTTTTTAATTTTCAGTTGTTTTGTGATCTCACTTTCTTTCAATTCTGTCTTTGCAGTTTATGCGAAGAACAAGATGTCAATCAGTGGTTCCTGTTGATCCTGAGATCGAGAGAATCGTTAGATGACATAACAGAGAGAGAAGAGAAAGAGAGGATTTAGTTGTAGAAGCAGAAGAAATAGTTGTTGAAATGGCTAAACCAGAAAACAGGACACTGAGGGAATTTTCAGTTCCCACAGTGAATGGTAGTGGGTCGAGTATTACTAGACCTATGGTGCAAGCAAACAACTTCGAGATCAAGCCGACAATCATCCAGATGATCCAGCAGTTGGTTAGATTTAATGGTGATTTGAAGGAAGATCCGAATCAGCACATTGCAAATTTCTTGGAAATTTGTGACACCTTCAAATCGAACGGAGTGTCGGATGACACTATTAGGCTGCGGTTATTCCCATTCTCATTGGGAGATAAAGCCAAGGGGTGGTTAATGACATTACCATCGGGAACTATAACAACTTGGAATGATCTAGCATAGAAATTCCTTACCAAGTTCTTTCCTCCAGCTAAATCAAATTGAGAAATGATATCACATCATTTCTACAAGATGATTCTGAGTCATTGTATGAGGCTTGGGAGAGATACAAGGAGTTAATGAGGAAATGTCCATACCATGGGTTGCCAGTTTGGCTTCAAGTCCAAACTTTCTACAATGGATTGATGGGTAATGTGCAAACCATGGTGGATGCGGCTTCATGAGGCGCCTTGCAGAATAAGACACCAGAAGAGGCCTATGAGTTGCTTGAGGTTTTGGCAAGCAACAACTATCAAAGACCAAATGAGAGAGCAACAACAAGGAAATCTTTGGGTCTTCATGAAGTTGATACCTTCACAGCTATCTCAGCCCAACTCACTGCATTGCAAAAATAGTTGGGAACTATGCAGGTAAACTCTATACAAGCACCTCAATTAACATGTGATTTTTGTGTAGGAAACCATGTGAGCAACGAGTGTCAAGTTGGGAACACATTTGCTTCGTCATCTTTATCAACGGACCAAGTGAATTACTTGGCAGGAAATCAGAGACAACCAAACAACCCATACTCTAACACATACAACCCAGGGTGGAGAAATCATCCAAATCTGGCTTGGGGAAATCAGAACCAGCAAAATAACCAATGGAACCAAAGGACAGTTCCAAATAACCAACCAAGGGTGACTAATCAACTGGGAGATCAAAGAGTGACGAAGTTGGAAGATATGTTTGGGAAATTTAAGCAGGAGACAATGGGATTCATGAATGAGACGAGGACAAATTTTAGAATGAGACGAGGACAAATTTTAGAAATCAAGGGGCGTCCATCCGGAATCTTGAGGTACAGATGGGCCAATTGGCCGAGAAGCTTAATGAGAGACCGTAGGGTTCCTTACCAAGCAATACAGTAACTAACCCACGTGAGCAAGCAAATGCCATAATGTTGAGAAGTGGGACAGTTTTGGAAAAGGTAGAGCAAGCTACCAAGGAGGTTGAGCAAACCGAAAATGAAGCTTCTGATGAGGAAGTTGATGAAGAGATAGTTGCTGAAGAGAAACCAAGTGGTTTGGAGGAAGAGAAAAAGGATGAAAGGCAAAAGAAGAAGGAGAAATTGCCATTTCCCGAGATACCACTAGAGTTGGCACATCACACCCCACCCGTGCCTTTTCCTTAAAGATTGAAGAAAAAAATCAGGATAAGCAATTTTCAAAGTTTATTGAAATTTTTAAAAAATTGCACATTAACATTCCTTTTGCAGATGCATTGCAGTAGATGCCGAGTTATGCGAAGTTCCTGAAGGAAATCTTATCGAACAAAAAGAAGTTAAACGATGAGAAAACGGTGATGCTCACAGAGGAGTGTAGTGCCATCCTCCAGAAGAAGCTATCTCCAAAGCTCAAAGATCCAGGGAGTTTTACTATTCCTTGTATTATAGGAGATATTACATTTGATCGTGTTTTGTGTGATCTAGGAGCTAGCATTAATTTGATGCCCTTTTATGTTTTCAGGAGATTGGGCATTGGTGAAGTGAAGCCAATGACCATGTCATTGCAACTAGCAGATAGGTCAATAAAACACCCGAGGGGGATAGTAGAGGATGTGTTGGTGAAGGTGGGAAAGATAATTTTTCCAGCAAATTTTGTGGTGTTGGACATGGAAGAGGATAAGGAAATTCCTCTGATTTTGGGCCAACCATTCTTGGCCATGGGGAGAGCACTTATTGACGTGCAGGAAGGAAAGTTA